ACGCAGCTTGTGCTCCAGCCCCTACAGTTAAAGTTGTGTCGTGATTTTGTGTTTGATAGACATCTTGCAGGGTTTAAAGTCGCGGTTATTTCTATAAGGGAGGGGTCATCATAGTTGTTCTGCCTGTGCAAGCTTCTTGTGCGAGGCGTTGCGGTAAGTTTGTAAGTCATGCCCTCACCCAGTTTTCTAATCTTCTTGACGGGGTCTCCTTTGTCAGAACGCTTCGCTTTCTTTTCTATTCCTTTAAATTAGTTTCTAAGACCTCTCTCAGAAGTGAATTGTCTACAAATAGCAAGGATGTAGTTTGCTGATGTATTTCACGCGCTAAAATATGCCTCAAAACTTCGTAGCGTTGAGCCACATGGTTTCACTTTGTGATTGAGTAAAAATGCTCGATTTGTATTTGCCTTTCTACTGGTTGAAATCAAACGTAGTTTATGGCATTGCATCCAGCGAGATAGTGTCTATGCACGACGAGAGGGAGATCCATTGCTCCTAGACACTGGCATATTGTTGCAGTTTGACTTAACTGGTTCTCTGGGCATTCCGCTGGTCCAACCGTGTTCCAAAGAGTGGCTAGTTTTGGGTCAAACCGGGCAAAACGCATGCGGAATAAAGCACGGGTCAAAGGCGCGCGTATTCTTCCCCATATCAGCCACGTTGAGATAATCTGAGCGGACATGCGTCGCAGCTTTTAATTTGCGCGCATGCGTACTTTCCCACCAGCGTTTGGGTGCAAGCGGAAATACAAAATCTCTAAACAACTGATACCTTCTGGGAACGGATTTTGCACTCCTTGCTCGTTCGTAATCTGATTTACCATGTTATTCACCCTAAGTAAAAATAATCCCATTGAGTGGCTGCTATGTTCAACGCGCACTGAATAAACGTGCGTGGACTTGTGGACGCTGCAGCAGGCTGTGTCAGCTGTTGTGGACGCTGCAGCAGGCTGTGTCAGCTGTTCGTAAAAGCGTTGTTGCCATGCAATGAATTGACTTCTGATAAATGGAATGATGAGCTCGTAAATCATTCTACCATATTCAATTATCCTTACCCTTGCATACAATATTCATGTAATATCTGTATAAAATGTCCATGTAATATCCATATATCCATATGATATATCCATGTGATATATAAATCCCTGCTAATCAGTATCAGGCTGAACTAGCTGAAAAAGAATGTTATTCTTTTAAGAAACTTGCAAATACGCCAAAACAATTATTCTCAAATCACCTGCGATGATCCAAGTCTAACACTGTCTGAGTTCCATTGCGCAGCAGCAAAAACAAGACGGTGATGGGTCTTACGTTACTCAGCTCTGTGAACCGCCCCAAAAGGAATTACGTTGCGACATTGAGCCTCGAGAAGAACCCGCTCAAAACAATTTGTGCCGACGAGAGGCCTTCCAGAACGTAACGCTAGAAATGTCTGGCGATGTCCAAACGAAGACTTGAATAAGCTTGACATCTCAGGCTCCCCTTTACCGTGATGTCCACTATGACGAGTTAGTCTTGGCTATGACTCGCGGCCATTTTAACATGAGCAACCATGTCGGGCCCGTCGCCCCCACACATCACCATCGTCATCTCTCATCTCTCACCAACGCCATCATTTTTTAAACAAATTTCTTATATTACAGAGCTTTTGGCCCTTTGCTATTTTTGAGTTTATAGGCGGTGCGCATCTGCCTAGCAAAACGATTCCACGAATGCCACCTAACGCGAACGCACTTCTCAAAGTTCAAAATGACCCGCACCTGCCGCAGGTGCTATTTTTATGCAAGTCGCGTGTGAAGCCGCCGAACGCGGGTCATCGCTAGTGGGCTGACCACAATGAATACGTGAAAGACACCAACCTAAATGTCCGGTACTTGTCAGCAATGTCTTAGTCATTACATTTCGAAAGAAGATCACGCTGCAGCGGCACTAAAGCCACATGCGATGGCGTTACGGTATGCTGAGTGCATGATCCGCCTGCCATTGCGGCCCTTTGCCCGCGTTGCTAAGTATTCAGTGCCGAAGTCCCGCAGTTGCGCTGAGCAGCTCTTGGTCAGAATCGAAATCAACTGCGTGCGCCTTGAGCCAAGGTCGGGATCGATTCCGCTGAGGTGGAATCGAGTACGGGTCTGGTGCCTGCAAGCGCAGCGGCACCAACCTAGGCGCGCGGATGCCGGCGAACCGGTGGCGAGTACCGGTGCAGGCACCAGCTCTCGTTTTGTCCACTAACGTCGTTTTGTCCGCAAACGCTAACGTCGTTATGGTCACTATGGATTAGGTAGCCCGTAATCTGTATCAAGATGCCCTGTTCTGTGGTAAGGAGGCCCATTGCTGGCTCTATAAGCACCCGTTGTGAACTAGGAGGTCCCTGTTCTGGACTAGTAGGCATAGGAGATATATAATAGGAGACCCCTATTCTTGAATGGGAGACCCCTTTCATGCGTATTTGTCCGGATCAGGATGCCCTGATTTTTAATAATGAGGCGCTTTTCTAGGATTGGAGGCCCCTTTGCAAATCGGAGGGGTCCTGTTTTGAATTAGAATCATGCATCTCTTTGCAACAGGGGGCACTGTTTTGCGAAGAGACAAGCCCTTGCTTGAAATCAGCAAACCCATATTTTGTGGATCGGAAAGCCCGTATAGTAATAAGAAATCACTGTTTTTTAATTTTTGCGTCACCATGTATTACTTTCATTATATTATTCTTCTAATTCGACCTTTTTCGCATGTATATGCACGCACCAATTTGTCAACGGGGCATAGGTCACCACCGGGCCTTTTTAATACAACAGGGCCGGGAGACTCAGTAGGGCCCTCTTGTGAGAAGGTCCCATTTCGGTCAGAAGGCCCTCTGGAAAATTATGCCCACTTCACGCAAAATCTACGGTTCCAACCCTGCCTCCTGATCTGCCGCACTACTCAGAGTGTTGGTCGTGGCGGGATGTGGATGGTAGCCAGGTGATCGAGTGATTTGTATTTGTTTATTCTAATAATTCCTAATTTCAACTAGTAGATTTAGGAAAGGGACAATTATATTTTCCTTGCACTGATCGAACCATGATGACATGCCTTGTCATATTTCATCATTTTAAGAAATGCACACATTGTGATGGCTTATGTCCGGTCGTAGACAGGTAAAGGTGGGATGAAGGGTTTCCAATACCATACTGGTTGCCCACTGATCGTATAAATTACTTCAAATCCCATACCAGTCACAATATTTTGGGTTTGAGACCTAAGTACTGTATCATATAGCTGCGCATATGCTGATAGGATCAATTCTCTCGTAAATTTATTGTCTGTAATATCTGACTGTCCAGAGCTGTCCGTCCTTTAGACAGGCAGCTCTAGACACGATTTACCAGGGAACTAATAACTAGCTGCCAAGTTCTTACATTGAGCGCTTGAGTCTGGCCCAGTGCGGCACTTTGGTCATAAATATCTCGGAATGGTAGGCCAGTGACGTTATTGGCACCCGAAAGTGCGTTACAAGACTTCGCTAATGTGTCCTGTGTGCGTTCTTGGCTGAAACGGATTTGAGAGAATTCAAGGTCCGTGCGCATGACATACGCAATTTTGTACCATTGCGCACCGCACGCATCTTCCGTGAAAAAAGAAAGATTTGAGTCAAACCCTTGCAGCCACCGCGCCGTATCAACATGATGCAAGAGTCACCCGTTCACAGAGAACCGGGGTCCGCTAGCAAGCTTGTAGGTAGCCTTCTGGTAGTCTTGTTTAAGTTTGATGGGAAAACATTTTGTTAGGAACCTGCACAAAGTTAGCTGAAACTTACAACAACCTGACGTTTCCTACGGACCACTAATGCTTGATATGCCTTAATCCTGGCGCACATGTCTCCCAGAATGGCAGACTCAGCGACTTGGTCAATGTCACCAGGCGTCAGCTTCCATTAAATACATGATGCGTTGTTTCCCTGGTTGACAAAATACGCACGCTCTCACGTTACTACTAAGTGACGGGACGCCGTCAACTTTTGCGGG